TTTTTTTTTTTTTGTCTTGACACTTGAGTCCTTAGTTATTCTGATGATAAATGGGATGGAAATGCTGAGCCCAGTAATCAAACATGCAAATTGGGGCACTAAGAGAGAACATTTGCGCGCAGTCATTGGTGTGTTATTTTTAGAGGATGTGATGTAGAGGAGGGGTGCTTACAACTAAACTAGGTTCTGTTTCACAAGGTGGAAAATTACCTATCAAGAATGAAGTGCTAGTTCACTCCTAATCCAGAAAAAAAACCCAGGAGTTAAAAAGAATTATATTCTCCCAGCAGAGATAGTACCAACCTCTTCTCTGCCCTAATTAATCCCACAGGAACTCAGAGCAGGTGGTCAATGGGAAAATGCTTAGGAAATCCTTTTTGGGTTGGTATTCCAGAAGGTGTTAATATGGTTCATTTTTCTTCTAAAGCTTGAGGGTATGCATATGAACCGTGTTCAACCTAAATGCCTAGAAGGGTCTTATGTCTTGTTAGTAAGCGTGTGTTTCTAAGAGGCATCGAGCAAAGAAGGCAACAAATCCTCTGGGATCAGCACTGGGGATCTGTCTGTCATCCAGGACTCTATCTTCTCTCTCCACTGTTCCTTGTCTAGAAGCAAAGGCAGGTGGGAGGGTCAGCACCCTTCTTACTGAGTCACCGACTCAGTACCAGAATGCATGGGGCCAAAGTGCCTCCCTGAAGAGGATGGGCATTGACTCAGCGTGCTGATGCAGCCGCTCTTAGATAGAGCGCATTCCTGCTCCGGAGAGTCAAAACAGAGCTGGATTGGCCCTCCACGTAGCAGCAGATTACATCCCACTTCTCTGCTTAACCCATGCCATGTCTTCCTAGGTTCCAGAACGTAGAGCACTGACCTGTCTTTTCAGAGAAGGGCAGTGACACCCAGCCACAGAAAGAGAGGAAGGAGGGAATTGAAGGAAATGTATATGGTGATGAATTACGGTTTATAAATTTCCCTTCTAGTTTGTTTTTCTTCTAGTTAGTGCTCAAGTGCTAGTTAAAAAAAGGTTAAAAATCAAGATATGAGTTTCGTTTGCCATTAATTGGGTACACTTACCAGTAATGAGCATGCCGTGATTGGAATCATAAATCATAGAATAAATCTGCATGTCTCCTGGTCCTCCCTGGCTGTCATGGAAGACTTGTAATAGTGAAAGAGTCTGTATATCCCACACTCTGAAAACCTGGGGAAATAAAAACACAGTTCCCACTTTTACATTTTACATTCCCTGTTCAAAGCTATTTATGGGAAGCATTTTCAGAGTCTGTAATACACTCTTAAAAACTTGCAGCGAAGTACGATTTATATGATGAGCACACATTTGCTAAACTCCAGTTTGGTTCTTGGTTCAATTATTGTTCATTAATATCAAAGGAAAATAGCAACAGTGATTAAAAATTTGCTTAAAGGGGGCTGGCCCCGTGGCTTAGCAGTTGAGTGCGTGTGCTCCACTACTGGCAGCCCAGGTTTGGATCCGGGCACACACCGATGCACCCCTTCTCTGGCCATGCTGAGGCCGGGTCCCACATACGGCAACTAGAGGGATGTGCAACTATGACATGCAACTGTCTACTGGGGCTTTGGGGGGAAAAATTTTGCTTAAAGGAACTAGATTTTTCTATCATTACAGAAGGGAGGGGAAAGACAATATTTATTATTCTTTAAGAGTTTGGAGGAATAATAAAGACTGATCATGACTTACAGTGCAGTTGAAGCCACATTTCTCTTTACACTATGGGCTAGAAAATAGAGAGAAGACTATATTATAGGGGAAGAGTTTCAAATTGTTGTCACGGCTTATGAAGGTGAGAACATCTTACTGAATGAGGTTTCTAAGAACTTCTCCTCTTCCTGCCCAGGGACATAAGAATTACAGAAAGCAGTTTTTATGGCATAGATATGACAAGATGTGTAGATATGTAGATGATGTAGATATAGAAAGAGTACAGACAAATAGGGTATGAGAGCTCTCCTTTGAGGGGAAAAAGGGAAACTGTGTAATAATTCAAATAGAACTTAGGTTGATAGACTAGAATAGAAAAGAACAATGAAGTTCAAATTCAGCAAAACTAAGTCAAGTTTACCCTTTGTCACTTGAAATAACTAGTCTTAGTCTTCTTCATTATTCTCTTCTTTTAGTAAGTTACAGTGTGGTCCAATTTCAGAAATAAGTGTGATTTGATCAAGGATTACATTTCCTAGAATGCATCAGCCTTAAATAATATTTTCATGTTATAGTAGTTATTATTATCCTATTAAATTGGAGTATTTGTTGAAAAAATGAGTGATCATTGTATGGAACTACATATATAACTCTAATAAGTAGTTTTGTTAACAGAGATACTGATTTCTAACTGGAGACACTTATAACTGAGTTAACTGAGTTCAAAACTTCACTATTGCTAAGGCAGGTTGGTCCTGCTGTGTAGGAGATCCAGATGTATAGAAGTCATGTGGTTCAGGGAACTGTAAGGAGCCTTTGCTCGGATGTATACCCTCTGTAGCCAGTATTACTCAGAACTTGTACAATTGGAAGTTACTCCCTTTGTTCTAGTAAAAATGCAGATTTGGGGGGAGTAGCTAGAACGTTGAACCTCATCAGTCTTTTGTATCATAAACACGTATAACAGATGATGAATTTAGATTCAGAGCCTAGAATGCGAGAGAAGAAGGTGAAGAACTCGAAGATGGAATCAAGGAGTGCCAAGGAAACTTGTCTCTACTCGAATTGTCTCTGATTTTATTGCCTTGATGAGATATGTTCATGGTTGGCAGTCTTTA